CAAACGTTTTTTTATAGTTTATCTGTTATTTTCTCTAACCTATCTCAAAACGGGATCGGTCAATTCGACCAACCTCGTAACCACCAAATAAAAAAATCTAAATAAACCTAAATTAGCCTTTTTTCTTTCAAGAATGACTTCAAATTGTAACATGAAACTACATTTGTTTATCCTAAGTAGCTAAAAGTTTGTAACAGTATACATCTACTTATGATTAACTTTTTTTGTTTCATTGTCCTTTGAACTGTGTCTAACTACTATCCGTGCCATTATAAGTTGTAAATCACTTGGGGAATGTGCAACTCACATTAATCTATTGAATTACATTACCCACGTGCTACTAGGAGCTGCTCACACATGTGTGCCTCATTAATCATTTTTAATTATATTACTTATTTTACCTAATCTAGTCTTAAATAACTTAAAAATATCTGTATTTTTAGATTTTAGTGACCTTTATAATAATAAATAAAGAATAAATATGAAAAACAAGAAATAAAGTACTAACCTAATCCTTTTTTTCTTGCTGTTGGGTTTTTGAAGAGAGTTAACCCAATTTTTATACTATAGATAGTAATGCACTTAATAATTTTTATTTAATTAAATAATGCACCAAAGAATATAGACTAATAACGTGAAAAAAGTAGACAAATTCCCTTACCTCTCAAAATTTTTCTGGCTTTCTATTTTTGCGACAAGAGCCATTACAAATTCATCCAAGCTAGTCATTAACTTTCACACAGGAACGATGTTGGTACTCTGAGTGAAAGTGACATCTAACTGTTCAGAACATAACATTATACAATACATCATTTGATAGAAGAAAACCTTGACTTTCTATTAGTTATAGGTAATATATATAATGAAATGTAAGAGAAAACTATCAACGAATTCTGAAAGAGAGGATGTGACAGATGGGTGTGGCAAGAGGGGTCTGATTTTCTAATTGACAGCTCTCTGTAACCAAACAAAATTGAAGCCTATAAAAATTGTGGTTTGTCTAAGCAATAATGATTTTATAGAGAGTAATTTATGTTTAATTTTGTACTTTTTCGTGGGGTGGTGGATAAAATATGGATGAGGACATGCTAAGAGAAAATGTGTCATGTGGGTCACACTAGTATAAATTCAGGATGTTTTTAAATATTGCCTTGTAGAATTAAGAACTTAAAACTTGTATACTATTAAAATATGGATTATCAACTAAGATTTTATGGTATTCTAATTGGTACAACATAAACAAAAAATAGCTTAATAAACTTTTTGAATGTAAGACACTAAAAACCTTGTGTCATGCACAGTAAAGGATACCCGTGGTGATAGGGTTAAAGTACTAATAGCTTCAGAGAATCTAAGTCTCTTAGTTCCAAACATATAAATAACATTTTTCTTTAGCTCTTTAACTAGTATGAAATGTATAGCCAACACCTACAGGTGCTCATACAAGAAATCTGGAATATCATGCCTACCAGTAGTGAGGTAATTCAAAATCAATAACAGTCAGAACAATACTGATAATGTTAAAAAGAGAGTAACATAATTAGCTTTGAGTTACAAAATGCAAGGGAAGTAACAATACTGATTATGCTAACCCTAGAATGCCAGCATGGGGGGTCACTATGACCCCCATACCACCTGGTGTTAATGACTGGAAATTTAACACTGGCATTCCAGGGTTATAGAGGAATTACGTACTTCATTTTGAGTAAGGAAGTGCAGTGGGAGTAACTGATGGTCTGATGTCATGAGAGGCAGAAACACCACCTGGAGCTCATCACTTGATCTTAAGTTCGCACCAGCTCCAAGGACATCCCCAGAGTCCGGCTCTAGGGGTACAAGAGCTGAGAAGTGTCCTCGAGTATAGCCTAAGGCAATAGGAGACTTCCAACAAAAGCTGTGGTCCCACAGCAAGGGTAGGTATATCCCTTGAAAAAGAAAAAGTATTAAAATTAGAATTCAGAGTCTATTCCTCTGAACATTTAGCTGACTGTTACTATTTTCACCTTAATACCTTTGTTTGACAGGTGGGACAAAAATACACACTGTTATACAGATAATTAAGTAATGAAGCATTTAATAATATTTCATAAATATCACCAAAAAAGAAGAGAGAGAGAGATCTTAGCCTTGGATTAAGTTGTCATTTATAAATTCATAAAATAAGGAACAGGAATTAATACCATACAAGATTGCTAACCCTGACTGATATAAGTAAAATGTTCTGTAATAACTAATACATGTGGCATCACACCATGAAATTTACAATTTTTTACTTTTTAAAGTAGGATTTTTAAATCACAAAGTTATTAAAAAATCTGAAAGCAGAAGATAAATATACAAAATCGTAGGACAGTATTAGTTTTTGTTCCTCTTGAGCAATAAAGTTTTAAGAAAAAATAGATATCTTATCAAATACTGAACAACTTGTGTTAGTCTTCTACGTTTCACACAACAACCACAAATACGACACTCAACTGATATCAATTAGAACTTAAAAAGTCCAGTCACAATTTGACCAACACTATTTCATGTCACCGTTGAGTCTTTGAGATTTATGTTCATTGTTAGGAGTATAGACTGACCATTATTTTCAAGTTGTTAATACTTACTGTTTACCTGATCTGTAAAACTCATAGTTGTCAAGTAAATTTGATTAAAACCACCCGTACAAAAAAGTTGCTTTTATGGGATCAGTTAAAATTAGTGGCTTAAATTTCATTTCATATTTATTTTCACACTTTTTATTTGTAACTATAAAATTCACTGATCTAACAATGAGTTTGTCAAACCACCTGCCACCCTTACAAGCACTACTGCATGACAGTTACCATGTCAAGGACATTACACTAATTTTATCATGACCTTTGTCATTCTAACATAATGTCTGGGTTATTTTATTTTGTCCTAATACTTGCCACTTGAATGTTTTGTTCTCTTCTCTTCTAATGCTTATAACACACACAATAGTGTCATTTTCAAATTCAGACTATTTCAGACCAATATTTTGCGCTACAAATCCAAACTCGCAAACTAAAAGTTAACATTTTCCTAAACTGAAAATGTATTTCCAATAGATATCCACCTCCTCTCACAAAATAGCTTTTGTCAATTAGTACAGCCCTCTATTGGCATAAAATTTCAAACTCTCACTTCTGCATATTCACATGTAAATGATTATGCAGCAGCTCTCCACCAATAGGAATGCAACACAACCACTCTCACAAAATAGCTTTTGTCAATTAGTACTGCCCTCTATTGGCATAAAATTTCAACCTCTCACTTCTGCAGATTCACATGTAAATGATTATGCAGCAGCTCTCCACCAATAGGAATGCAACACAACCACTATCGTAACTAGAGCTCTCTCCACATTTGCACTCGTTAATCACTTCCAGATTGGTCATAGGACCTATACCACATATCACCGAAAGTGGGGAGGCTGGATGGGAAATGTGAGGAGAGGTAAGTATCCATCAGAAATACATTTTCAGTTGAAGAAAATGTTAACTTCCAATATGATATCTTACCTCTTCTTGCAAAATAGCTGGAATTCCACAGTTAACTGGTGGAGGACCAGTGAAAAAAAAAAGATCCACCTTTAGGAAGCACCCAAAGAGAGACCATGAAGTGTGGAACCAAAAAAGTAAATATCACACCACAATGGGAGACCACACCACATCTGATCCAGGTATACTCTTCGCTCTTTTACGATAGTGTCCTGAATATAAAAGGCGGAAAAACATGAAGGAATCCCATACTACGTATTACCTATTAATGGGATTCCAGGATGTGGAGTGGCTAGGATGTGAAAGACCACAGTGGTAATTTGACCTCATCTAACACTTCACGTCATCTAGAATTGTACATCAGTTCTGCAGTAGGCAGAGGATCACCTACCTCTTCACCTCGAAACAGGAATTGGTAGGGAAGACGAGCTTCTGTACCAAAATCCATCTCATCTAGCTCGTATTTCCAACCCAACCAACACCTGATCCACTACTAACCGACATACAGAGGATGGTAGGAAGGTGGAAAGCCATGGTGAGATGACATATACAGTCCAAAACCTGGCAGTATTGGGTATGTTTCTTCCGGTCCGTAGTAGGAGGAGGATAGTCGACTATATACAAGTGGGAATATGTGTGCTGCAACCAACATCGAGCAGACAGTAGGAATAGGGAACAAAAATCTGGTGGGATTGGGCATTTGTCATACAGTACACAGTAGGAGGAGGGATACCAGTCAAAACACGTGTGGACTTGCTTAGCTTGACCATCTTCAACTAATACCTGACCCACCCACACACATACAGAATACCCCAATTAGCAAACAACTCCTGAAACACCTGCAGATCTCATGACCACTCTGTCTGATGAATTTGTCAGGCCAAGATAATCAGTCCACAAACAGATTCAGGGCACCTGGAATATCACATGCTAACAATCTGATGTGATGAATGTGGGCCCATTAGAAAAGATTCAATGTTCGGAAACAAATATCTCGTGTCTGGGTACCCACTTGCCTGGTGATATAAGACCCTACCATGGAACTGTCAGAGTGGACCATCACCGAACATCAGATAAGAAGTGAAGCATAGCACAATGATCAACCAGCAACTCGATGTTGATATGTAGGGATGATTATGCCGGTGTCCAATGACCCGAAACCTCTTGAACGTTGAGATACGCACCGGAATCCAAAAGCATCCGTAAAAACATGACACTCTGGTAGAGGAGGTGGAAGAAGCACTCTGATGGTAGTATTGGTTCGATCCAACTACCAAGTGAAGTTGGCCTTTAGGTGGGGATGTAGGGTAATAGGAGCATCTAAGGGATCCCAAATTAGGAACCAATGGTCAAGTAACCCTCACTGAAGGTGATGCATGTGGGAGCGACCAAGGGGAATAAGGGCTGCGAGAGAAGCCCATGTACCCACAAGAGATACCATCTCTCATGCAGTAGGAAAGGGAGAGGCCAATAGACTGTGAACTAGATGTTCCATATCTTGTAAACGAAGGGGAGAAGGCTAGGTCCGACTGATGAGGGAATTGAAAAACATACCCTGATTAATCAAATATTGTGTGGGTGTGAGAAAAGACTTCTCCAACTTGGTGAGCCAATATACTGTGGCAGCCCCTCAAAGAACAAACTCAGTATGAATAGCAGATTCAACCTGAGAGGAAACCAAAAGTAGCCAGTCAACCATGACCATGTAATGGTGAAAATGAAGGCCTCTGGCATGAAGCAGTTGAGCGAACAACCTGACTACTTGGCAGAAGGTATAAGAAGCCAAGACCAGGGCAAATTGTAGAGCTCAAAACTGATTAACAAAATGGAGGAGATGATGGGATAACTGGGAAATGGGAATGAGGAGATAGACATTCAACACATCAACCTTCATCATCCACAACCCAGGAGTGAAAACCCACTGAAAGATTAAGTAAGACTCCTTCATGTATTTTGGTATCACCAGGAAATGGTTCAGGGACGATAAATCTATAACCAGTTGCCAATATTCTGTCTTTTTGGGTACAATGAATAGATGGGAATAAAACCCCAGCTGCAAAGGTTCCACAAGTTCATTTATAATGGATCCATGGGTCTTGCAGGTTCCCCCCCCCCCCCACCACCACCAAGGGATCCAGTTTCTCTCTGGCATCTACAGGAGGCTGTTTGGGCATCCACATATGGGAAAAATGTATAAGCCTGGCTTCCACTGGCCCTGGGGCTGGGTCACCGACATTGTAATCCTCTGAAATGCCTACAGGCAACATTTGGACTGCTAAGGGATAAAGAACGAGAAGCCAGAACCAGCAAAGGGTTGGATGCAGGAAGACACAAAAACAGTAGGAGAAGGTTGAGTTAAATGGGAAACTAATGAGGATAAAGAATTATGTAGATGAGTGAGTAGACTCAACTCATGCCCCAAACACCTTATCACGTGAAAAAAGGTGCCATGTGCAAAGCGTGCAGGGAAGTAGTTGGTAAATGTACTTGAGAAAGAGTGGCATCCCAACCTAGCAAGTCCCAACAGCATATCAGCCACACCTGAAGAGCTAGGGCCAAAAAGATGAAATGCATGCCTTTGTAGTAAACAGAAGACTGTGAACATCATGTGAAAACCCTTCAGGAGGCAAGTGAATTGCCTGAGCCAGCATGTGCACGGAGAATTGTGGACAACATCAGTCTGATATGGGAAAATTGAGATTGTGAGAAATTCACCAATGCATTAGGGTTTGATCCCCACAATGGAATGAGAGATTCTAAACACTGGGAATCAAGATAAGGGAAGAAAGATCTCTGAAACGCATAAGCATGATCTTCAGATGTATAAGGTGGACGAGGCATACTAACTCCCGACCAAAGTTGATCCCCAAATGGCTGGGCATAAACCCTAACATCAGGTGAGGGAGGGAAAAATTATTAGCCCATAGATACTTCACCATGGAGGGCAGGTTGAGAATAATAGGAAACAGAAGATAAGGATAAGAGAGCACAAACCTAATAAACTAATTCCTTAACCAGTGAATGAGGTCTGGGTAAATCCTCTGATATCTGCCATGACTGGGAAGCATAGTCGGGAGGGAGGGGTTAGGCTGTCCAAATTCTCGTCCTTCCTGTCAGACGCCCCAGGAGCAGGCATAACAGGATATTCCTCGCATGGTGGTGGTGAAGGTCGCATGAACGTGAACATTTCTTGTTGATCAATTGCCATGACATCCTTGGCCGATAATTGAGTACTCAACCCGGTAGTAGTAATAGTCAGTAAACTCACAGCAACAGTAAGAGCTGTAGTAGTCATAACTACTTGAAACTGCAAGTGCATATTGGCAAGTACAATCGGGAAGCAAAAGAAAAAATAAAGAAAGAAACAAAAATTGAAATAAGCAACTTTGCACAATTTAAAAACATGAAAAATTAGAGAAATAATAAAGAAAACTAAGTCTGTGGTATAAAGAAAAACGTCGACAAATTTGTGAGCAAAAACAAGAAATGTCTGTACAGCACTACTGCCAAACGAGAAGTGATTAATGAGTGCAAATGTGGAAAGGGTGCTGCTTATGATAGGGGTTGTGTCACGCTTCTAATGGTGGAGAGCTGGTGTATAATCATCTACATGTGGATATGCAGAAGCGGAAGGTGGAATGCTAGTGGCGAGCATTGAAAATTTGCTCCGATAAAGGGCAGTACTAATCGAGAAAAGCTATTTTGTGAGAGGAAGTACGATATCATATTGGAAGTTATCAGTTACGCTGAGCTTCACCAATCAGTAACTTCACTTATATCTACTTTGTTTTAAAAATACAAAGTTATGGCTTAAAATCCCTTCAACTTCACAAAGTTTTTGGTATATGATAGAACATTAAATTTATCTAAAAATGTTCTTTTATCATGTCTTTTTCAGGTAGTCTATTATGGATTTCAACCTTCATATATCTTAAAATTAAAATACACTGAAGGAAAACCGAGAACGACATTCAATGTTAAAAAAGAACTCAGAAGACTAATTCTTCATACCTTGAAATCGCGCATAGCCAAGAGCTTCGCCACGAAAGCTTTTAACATACTTAACACCATACACAATGATCGGTCTCCTAAGGATGTGTGCAAGAGTGAATATATGAAGCTGTTCCAGGGCTGAGCCAGGTTGAGTGGCTAGAGACAGCAGCATGGTCCAATCCTCCTGCCACTGCGTTTCATCCAGTGAAAAGTGGAGAAGGTCGGCCTGTAGTGTTTCAGCCTCCTTCCATCGCCAATAAAGCCTGACAAACAACCATCAACATATGAGTGTTACACCAAGCCAAAAGTTGGTTCAAGTTTAGGAAAATAAACACAATTTATATATTGCTTTACCAACAGAAACTGAAAATGGATAGCGCGCAACAAATTAGAAGTCAAGAAAAGCAATCAAGATATGAAGATGGGAGAGAAAGAAAAAGATTCATAAGATAAAAAAAAAGGAACATTTTATGCCAACTAGGTAACAAAAGAATAAGCTACCAAGAAAATACATTTTATGTACAGCTTGTTCAGTAAGTGATAAAAGCACACAAAAAGATAGATTCTTTAAACCAAAAGCCTACTGAGTAATAAAATAATATAAAAAACATCTTATGGACCACATGTAGGGTTGGTTGATTAATCTATATAATCAAATGTCTACAAGCATCAATTAGTGTCATATAACCAATGAATGAAAATTAGTGTTTCCAATTATTAGTTTTGATTAATTCAAGTTTGTTCAGTTTAATTAATTATGGAACAACTCACAAAAATAATAAACTAATCAAAATTAGTTTTCTCAATTATTCAAATAATTCAAGTAATCAAAATATTGAAATTATGATTTCTACTTCAATTAATTCAAGTTTCAGCCAGGTATGTCAGGTGATTAAGGAAGTTTCCTCATGATTCAGGTGTTTTGGTTTCAGTTCCCATTACCACCAAACATACTTGATATTTCAACTGCAAGGGTATGATATTTGTTTCTGTCCCATATTTTAAACTAATGACCAGAAAGAAAAT